CCTCATGTACCTGATGACCTGCACACGACCTGACCTTGCATACCCTCTTAGCATTCTTGCACGCTATGTTGCTCCTGGGAGACACCGACCAGAGCACATGGCTGCAGCGAAGAGGGTGTTGCGCTACTTGTGCAGTACGTCGGGCATGGGGCTAGTGCTTGGAGGGCGGAGTCCAGTGGTCCTCACTGGGCACGCGGACGCTTCTTGGGCTGACGACCAGGCTACGCAGCGGTCGTCGCAGGGTTACACCTTCAGTCTTGGTTCCGGCTCTGTCTTGTGGCGGGCTACTCGCTCGTCCTCTGTTCTCGGCTCCAGTTGTGAGGCTGAGATCTACGCCGGGGCCATGGCTGCACAGGAGCTTCGCTGGCTCACCTACCTGCTGACTGACCTTGGAGAGCAGCCTCGTTCTCCTCCAGTGCTGTACGTAGACAACAAGGCCATGCTGGCCTTGTGTCGAGAGCAGCGCTTGGAGCACAGAACGAAGCACATTGCTCTCCGTTACTTTCTTGCTCGTGAGCTGCAGCAGCGTGGTCAGTTGCGACTTGCGTACGTGGCCTCTGAGGCCAACACTGCTGATGTGTTCACCAAGGCACTTGCGCCTTGTGACCATCAGCGCTTCTGCACTCAGTTGGGTCTTGTACCTGTCTTGCCTCACTTGCTCTCCTCTTGACCTTGCTTGTACTGTCACATATATATACCTGCTCTTGCTTGTCTAGCTCTATATATATATGTGTCCTCCTGCATGTGAACTGGCCTTGTGGCCTTGTCGTTGTGCTCGGACTGTGTGGTGACTTTGTGATCCACCCTGAGCTTGCTGTGCTTTGCGTGACTGGTCTTGTGACCCCTTGTTCTCCCCCACTTTGCCTATGGGGGTGTGTCAGAACATTATATAGCTTATGCTGTTGTGTAGGCTATAGTGGGGTATCCCATAGGGGGTACAACCCAATTAGGGTTTCCTATATGTACTCACTTCATTCATAGTTCATTCATTCGCGTTCTCCTTTCCACAGCAGCCGTTGTTCGCCCGTTACTGCTAACGGGGCTTCGCCGACTTCGCGCGCACTGTTTCACCAAACCTCGCACTGCTGGCCTGGCGGTGTCGGCCTACGCTTCGAGACTAGCCCGAGCCTCGCTTACAGCATAGCACTAGCTAGCTCGCATGCACCGCGTTATCGTTTGCATGTTTCGCGTATAAATGTTCGCTCATGCCTTCGCTCACATTTGGTACTCGTTTGACACCTTAGTAAAATTCTCGCTACTTCGATTCATTTGGTGTCTCCCGACACGCACCGACGAAGACTCAGGCGAGCCCCAGCGAGGTAAGGCGATGTTGTTACCGTTCACTCGCACAGTGCAGTAACCCGTCGTCCAGTCGATTTGCGGATTGTGTCGTCGCAGCCAATCACGCCCGAGTAAAATATCGGTTTCGTCGAGGGTCGTTGCGAGCATTTCCTGGCTAAACGTGAAGTTACTCCCGCATCGAATCCGAACTCGGTCCACACGTTCCTGTATCGCCAGTGGCGTGCCGTCGACCAGTCTTGCGTCGATCTCAGGTAAACATCTGTCCAGTGGCAGTCGCAGTTTTCGTGCTGTGGCAGTGTTGATGAGGCTGTGGCTGGCCCCTCCGTCTACGAAGATTTTAACTAAGTCTGTCCCGATTTTCCCACTAAGCAGTATAGGGCTGTCTACCGTAGTACCCTCCTTATTCGGTCGGGTGTGGTCGATTGCATGAACCGGCACAATCACTCGGTGAGGGTCGGTTGGGTCGGGCGAGCGGCGTGACCTGTCAGTAGAGGGCCCGTCTGCTACTGACTCCCAGCGTTTCCCTGCTGCTTGGTCTGTTTCTGCTGCTCAGCTTCCCCCTTTCCCTTAGCGTTTTCCGGGCATTCGCTCTTACGGTGTCCCGGCCGATTGCACGCAAAGCAGCGCCCTTTGAATGGTGCGGCAGCGGCATTTGCGGCGACGGCACGTATCGTGGCGCCCTCTTTCGTCCCACAAGGCCGATGTCCCCAAGTGCTGCTTCCGTAGGACCCCGGTCTCGGTCGGCGGAAGAAGTCAAGTTTCTCCGCCATGGCGAGAATTTCTTGAAAGTCGATGACGCCGCGAATCTGGATTTCCTGAGCGATGTCCTCCTTCAGGCCGCCGATGTAGCGGTCGATGCGCTCGCTCTCATGCATATATCCCACCTGCTCGCATAGCGCCAGAAACCCGCTCGTGTAGTCCTGGACGGAACCGAGTTGGCGTCAAGTGCGGAGCCTCTGTCGCGCCGCGATCGAAGCCGCGATTGGCTCGAAACGAGCGCGCAGACCTGCGCACCACGCGTCCCACGTGCGATACTGGGGCACCACCACGAAATAAGACGGCGCCCAGGGTCCGGTTTGTCCTTCCCGTGTCGGTAGAGTCGCGTAGTCCACCAGCTTCGTGACGATGACACGCCACCAGTCCATGGCGGGTCCTCGCAGCAATGACACGGCGTAGCGAATCTGTTAGAGGTCCACTGGTGATCCTCGATTGATCCTAGGGAAGGGTTACATGCATGTTGGCCTGGGGGGTTATGGGCGCACTGACCCGCTCCTTAACAAGCCCTTTTATCCCAATGGTCTAGTGGTTGGGATTCTGACATGTTATCAGAGCGAAGGTCTCGGGTTTGAATCCCAGTGTGTGCACTTCGGTCATCCCAGTGCGGGGGGGTGTTAGAGGTCCACTGGTGATCCCCGATTGATCCTAGGGAAGGGTTACAGGCACGTTGGCCTGGGGGGTTATGGGCGCACTCACCCGCTACACAAACAAGCCATTTTATCCCAATGGTCTAGTGGTTGGGATTCTGAAATGGTATCAGAGCGAAGGTCTCGGGTTCGAATCCCAGTGTGTGCACTTCGGGCATCCCAGTGCGGGGGGGTGTTAGAGGTCCACTGGTGATCCCCGATTGATCCTAGGGAAGGGTTACAGGCATGTTGGCCTGGGGGGTTATGGGCGCACTGACCCGCTCCTTAACAAGCCCTTTTATCCCAATGGTCTAGTGGTTGGGATTCTGACATGTTATCAGATCGAAGGTCTCGGGTTCGAATCCCAGTGTGTGCACTTCGGGCATCCCAGTGCGGGGAGGTGTTAGAGGTCCACTGGTGGTCCCCGATTGATCCTAGGGAAGGGTTACAGGCATGTTGGCCTGGGGGGTTATGGGCTCACTGACCCGCTACTTAACAAGCCCTTTTATCCCAGTGGTCTAGTGGCTGGGATTCTGACAGAATCTTCCCCGTATCCTCCGAGACGTAATTCGCGTCGAAGAAAACGTTCAACGTGAATAGCCACGCCTGAACGGTAGGACCACCCCGCTGACTCGGGTCAAAACACGACGGACGGTGCGGCTTCAGCGGCATCGGCGACGGTAGAGTCGATTCGCTGACCGGCACAGAAATCGTGACTCGAGGCTGATTCCTGGCCGCATTCGTCGCGTCGGGGTGTGTCGTGCCGTGGTCGTCGTCTCCGTCGTGGCGGACGACGCCATTACTAGCCGCGCTCGCGGGTTGCCCCACACTTCCGTGTTGCGATGCCTGTGGTGCGGGCTGTATCGGAGTGCCAAGTGCTTGGGATTGTGTTCGTGCGAGGTCATTTTGCAGGGAGGTGTGTTCCGCCGTTAATGCCGCGATTTCTTCGGAGCTTTCGTGCAGTTGTCGTAGCAGCTCGTCCAGGCGGTCCTGCGTGAGGGTGGCGACATCGATGCGTTCGGCCATTCCGAAGGGCGTCGGCTCGTCTTAGTCTAGGCGCAGTCGTGGCTGCACTCGTTTACGAGAGAACGCGAGGACAGTGGCTCCTAGGGGCTAAGGTGCGTGAGTCCCTTCGAGTGAAAAATCAAAAGTTGATTTCCTGGGGTGCGGAGATGCGTGGTCCGAAAAGAAAGGCTCCGAATACCAAGCGTTACGGGTGCAATGAATCGAAGTAGCGAGAATTGCACTAAGGTGTCAAACGAGTACAAAATGTGAACGAAGGCATGATCAAACATTTATACGCAAAACATGCAAACGGTAACGCGGTGCGTGCGAGTTAGCTAGTGCTACGCTGGAAGCGAGGCTCGGGCTAGTCCCGAAGCGTAGGCCGATACGGCCGGGCCAGCAGTGCGAGGTTTGGTGAAACAGTGCGCGCGAAGACGGCGAAGCCCCGTTAGCAGTAACGGGCGAACAAAGGCTGCTGCTGTACGCAGTGTTGCAGGTTGCGCTAAGGAATGTCGAGAAAATTCCTTACAAATATTCTCAACTCTACAACTTGGTGATTCCCACATTGTACAGTTGCTGTTCTATCTATAAATGCACATTGTTGTTGCCTTCTATTTACATTTATGAGTGTGGGGGACTTTCCTAACGAGGTCGGGGAGTTGGGGGAGTTCGTTCGCACTCGCGTGGCGCTGGTTGTGCTGGAGGCCGCCTGTTGTTCCGCGAAAGGATTTCGAAAGGGGCGGCGGTGGGCCTACCGTGCGGGGGACCTCCCCTCCCCGTAGCCGACGTTTGGATAACTCCCCCCGACTCTCTCCAATTGGGGAGTTGGAGAGTGGATTGAGTGGAGGAGTGGAGTGAGGGAGTGGGGGAGTGGAGAATCGCGGGAGACTACAGTATTAGGCAATGCTAGTTGGATTGAGATTGAACGGGTTTCACAAGACCAGCGTTTCCAACACCACCATATCTTTCCCACATTGCTGTGTCCATGGCTGCTGCGTCGCTCGCATCGTGCTCGACAGTCGTGCCAGCTCTGGCGGGGGCGGCGGGAATTGAGGAACGCTCGACGCGAGCCTTAAGAAACGCCTGCAGCCGCTCCCTCGCACCCAGTACGGCTGTAACAAACAGACCGCATGCCTCGCATGCTCCGTTTCAACCCGAAACCAACCGCTTGCAATGGCTGTCAATACACGCGAGCCTTCGACGGCATCCAAGCAGCGCGTCTTGCAAATATCCGCGCATGAACGCAACCGCTGTTGCGTCACATGTCATTTCCGGTTTCTAAGTTGAGGCATGAACGCGACCGCTGCGTTAAATGCCATTCCGGTTTCTAAGTTGACTTGAAAGGCACGAACGCGACCGCTGCGTTAAATGCCATTTCCGGTTTCTTTCAATTCCGTTATTTTCTTCTTCTTCTTCTTTGACTAAGTCCGCCGCACCCGCCTTCTCTGACGCGCGTCCGTGCAGGGCGCGTGAGGTCGTTGGTGGCGGAAGCAGCGGCGGGCGATTCACGGCGAGAGGCGTCGCGCGACGACGACAGCAGCGCGGACACAAGCGGTCGCCGTGCCTTCCTCGCCCTTTCCACCGCCTCCGCTGCCGGTACGATTCCCCCCCACCCGCCCCACAGCGCGCCATCACTCGCCGCTCGCATGGGGGTAACCCCGCGAACGGACGCGTAAACGCGGTGCCGTGAGGTAAGCGGAGTGACGGCGCAGAGCAGGGACTCCCCCGTGCGCTCTGCCTGTGCGCTCACTGATACGCATTGCGTATGAAAGCTTTTCTTTGTTGACAAGAAAAGAACATGAGAATGCATTACGAGGGGAGGCTTTGAATATGACCCTCCAGTTGTTTAAAGGACCAGCAACCGCCTCCTTCTGAAAAATGGTTCGACTCGTTTCAATTCAAAGCAACGACGCAATAATTGCACGAAGCTTGCTTATTGTTCTTTTGTATCAGAAGCATCATGGTGATTTCCTGGTAGAAAGAAACCACACTCTTTTGCACCCTAGGCCCCTAAGGTCGCGTGGCCCTCTCTCTGGCACTATTCCTCCGAAATTTGCGAGGGTGGCAATGTGGGTATCCCTCCAAGAAGCTGCAGAAGTGCTGCTCTTGTCAGATTGTCGGTTGACCAATGACCATTAGGCTGCTCGTGGTGCCCACACGAAAGGAAGCCCCTCTGCTCATGCAGCAGTTAGCGTAGCGAAGAGGAGGCACAGCTAGGGGCCTGTGATCTATTGGATTTTATACAGGCCCCTAGCTGTGCCTCCTCTTCGCTACCAATACCATACCATACAGACGGGCGACGTGCATGGCCGAAGTTTGCGGCTCCCCCACCGCGGCGGCTAGGTGCTTGTCCTTTTGGATCCAGTGCCCACGTCTGATTCTATCTGTTTAGTTTTGAGTTAAAGTTTGCAGAGAGCGAGGGGTTTTCTTGTCTGTTTAGTCTAGGCAGGAGGATTGAACAAGGGACCGAACCTAGGCTCGGTCCAACCCCACCAGCTCAAAAACGAAAAAAGAAAGAAGAATGGAGAATGGAGAAAGGAGAAAGGAGAAAAATGCATCGTTTTGTTACTGTGTATGTCCCCCCCTGTGCGCCCCGCCCTCACCCAACAGCCTTGCTGAGTTCCCCGATTCCAGCACATGCTGTCTCCACCAGCCGCCGTGCCGTGAGTGCTCTCTCTCCCTCTGCCACCACCGCCCTCTCTGCCAGCTCATCAGCTCCTCCCCAGTCCAGCCTTGCTGTTATTATCCCCGCCCAAAGAGTTTTTTGAATGTTGCTCCCATGCCGTGATCAACCATGTTGGTTCGGCCTCTTTCGCTCGCGACTGAGTCACGCAAGGTAACCCACACCTGTGCGCCCACTCCCACGCACATTTTGTCAGCTGTATCTGTCCTGTCCTGTGCCGGTTGTTGGCAGCAGCTGCACGTCCCATATGATATTCTCTCCGTTATGTGCTGAGCAGAAGCACGAGCCAGTGGCTCACATGACTCTTGTGCTGTACCATCCATGGGTATGAGAAATGCAAGAAATGTATCGCGTAGGTGAGCTCAATTGTTGGCTCAACCTATTCCCATTTGCAGGCTGCACCTCACATGGCCGTTTTCCCTCCCTCCCTCCCTCCCTCCCTCCTTCCCTCCCTCCCTCCCTCCCTCCCTCCCTCCCACCCTCCCCCTCCCTCCCTCCCTCCCTCCATCCCTTTCTCCTTTGGCCCCCACCGCTCTCCCTTGCGCCCGGTGCCACATTGCTCCGTGCGGTGCGGCATCAGAATCAAGGGGCGCGCATCCCAGAGGAGGAGTACACAACTCTTCCGTCAGGGCTCAAGTGGGTGTGGGAGCGGGAGCGGGTGCGGGAGCGGGTGCGGGAGCGGGGTGCGGGAGCGGGTGCGGGTGCGGGTGCAGGTGCGGGTGCGGTTGTGGGTGTGGGTGCGGGTGCGGGTGCGGGTCTAGGGTGTGGGTCAACGCAACGCCCTAACACTGCAGGCAGCCTCAACTGCTGCAGACAAGCACATACGTCTGCGCTTGAACCTTTGCTTTCAGGGCTGAGCTTTCATTACCGGGCTTTCATGGCTGGGCTTTCATGCTTGGTTTTTGGGTCTGCAGAGAAACACAAACACGCACTTGTCGCTGCTTTTATAATCTCACCTGACCTCGCAACTCGCTTGGCGCCGCCCTGGGGCTCATTTCCTCTTCCCTCCCTTCCTGCCTGCTTCACTCTCTCTCTCTCTCTCTCTCTCTCTCTCTCTCTCTCTCTCTGCCTGCACCCCCGGCGCTGCCTGCGCATGCGTGTGTGCAGGATCTATGACATCAAAGTCGGCTCAGGGCCCTTGGCGAAGCTGGGAGACCGAGTCACGGTGAGGGGGGCGTGTGTGGTGCGGTGTGGTGCGGTGTGGTGTGTGCCCATGGTCTCTTCTCCCGGGCTCTGATCATCTGACGGGTGCACGCAGCAGCACTGCACTTGCTGGCACCACTCAAGCACGCACCCCACCCCACCCTACCCCACCCCACCCCACCCCACCCCACCCCACCCCACCCACCACCCCACTTGCGTCTGTACATCCGTTGCAGCTCTGCACCTGTCGCTGTCCACATCTCGCCGCACTGCTGCCTTACCTGAGAACAGTCTTCGCATCCCTGTGTGAATGTGCGTGCATGCATGTGTGCATGTGTGTGCGCTGCGCGTACGTCTGTGTGTGAGTGGTGGGCGTGCATGTGCGTGCGTGTGTGTGTGCGTGCCGCGTGGGAGTGAGTGAGTGAGTGAGTGAGTGCATGGCATGGCATGGCACGGGCACAGGTGCACTACGTGGTGCAGTGGAAGGGCATCACGTTCATGACGAGCCGGCAGGGAATGGGTGTGACAGGCGGCACGCCGTACGGCTTTGACCTGGGCTCCAGCAGCCTCGGCATGGTGCTCAAGGGGCTCGACCAGGGCGTTGAGGGCATGCGCGCTGGCGGCGTGGTGAGTTTGCTCTGCCCTGCCCTGCCCTGCCCTGCCCTGCCCTGCCCTGCCCTGCCCTGCCCTGCCCTGCCCTGCCCTGCCCTGCCCTGCCGTCCTTCCTCAAGTTTTGAGTCGTCTCAAAGAATGGCTTGCTGCTCAAGGGGCTCGACCAGGCAGGCGTCAAAGGCATGCGTGCTGGCTGGCGGCATGGTGAGTGCTCTGCGTCTGCAAGTGTTGAGTTGTCGCAAGGCATGGCTTGGTGCTCAAGGGCCTGGATTTGGGCGTTGGGGCGTGAGGGTATGCGCCCAGGCGGTGTGGTGAGAGCTTGAAGGGCTTGCTGTGCCCTTCTGTGCTTCCTCAAGTTGTGAGTTGTCTCAAATCTCGGCCTGTTGATGATTGAAAGGCTTGATTTGATCTGGGCATGAAGGGGATGCACACGCGAAGGGGGTGTGGTGTGATGACTGTTTATACAGCTGGACGTGCCCTGTCTGCCCCACGCCACCACACCACACCACATGCGCTGACTTCTCTCTCTGTGCTGCATTATCCATCCATCCATGAGTTTGCCAGTCGTCATGTGGATCACACGCCAATGTGCCATATGCTGCGTGCATGCAAAGCCATGTCTGCTGCACTGCACATCCTCGGAACAAGCGCTCTATCACTTGACGCTTGCACATGAAAACCCCCCATGCCCTCCCCAACATCCTCCTCTCCTTTCTCTCTCGCGCCTTGTCTGCATGCCTGCAGCGTCAAATGATAGTGCCTCCGGAGCTGGCATATGGCAACCGAGGCATTCAGGAGATCCCACCCAATGCCACACTCCAGGTGACGTGACTCTTCCCCGCTCATCCCTTCAATGACCCTTCAAGCCCCTGCTGCTCGCTCACCCCTTCACTGCCCCTTGAAGCCCACGACTTTCGAGCTGTTCACGATTTTGGAAACCTGAAGACAAAACTTGCTGATTTTGTGTAGGCAGCATGCTCCTGTCCTCCCTGCTGGTTGGGCATTGTGGGTGGGTTGAGAACCCCAAAACGCAATGCCCACTGTCAAAGCTCTTCCAGCCCAGGATTCACCAGAGCCGCTAGCTTGCCCTGCCAAGCTAATGCTCTTGACCCTGATCTGAAGTTGCCACGGATTTGTGGAGATAGACTGCAACAGACTCTTATCCAGATTCTGCTCAGGCACATATGTTTGAAGCCTGCGGCTTGCAGTTTGGGCTGCGAACTTCAACATTTCATCTCAGCCACCCAGTCCTTAAATGTTCCTCCGCATTTGAGCTGAGCTCAATCCGTATGGCAGGGTTCCGTTTGACTAACCTGTGATGCATGTCTCTGTGCTCTACTGGCTGCTCCTTTGCTCCATGGCCTGCAGATGAATGTGGAGCTCCTGGCAGTGAAGCAAAATGCCTATGGGTGAGCGCTTCCTACCATTGCTCTCTTTCCTCTCGCCCTGCCACGTCCTCCCTCCTGCCGCAAAGCCCTCTAAATCCAGTCTGTACTTGCACCTCGTGCTTTTTTTAAATGTCATTTTCTGTTACCGTAAGTAAAACCATGATGTTTTATCGCTGTCTTTCTGTTTAGCTTTCTGGGTGTATCCTGGGTTCTGGTGTTCTGAAATGCATATCTGAGCATGAGTCGTTCATTTCACATACCCATGTGGTATTTGAATGATTGCAGCACACCCGTCAAGCTTATCGAGGGTTGAGGAGCACGGATTGCCCTCAACTACAGGATCAGCCCCTTGTCTTCATCTTAAAACTGCTGATTTATCAGAGTCAGTACAGTTATTTATAACTTTACAATAGCTGAAACATTTTGCTCCATCTTCTTTTTTGAACGAATAAAAGCTGGTTCAAGATTTCTTGAAGTTCTCAAAGTGTCGTATCGTCATGGCTATTGACTACCCTTACTGAAATAGTACAGCACACTGTAAGTATTCACACTGAAGATGGTGCATGTCCTCGATTGTGGTGCTCCTTTTGTGTTATTGGCTGATTCGTTGGACTGTCCACGGGAGGGAAGACACCCATCCATCACTTCCGCGCCGCTCTGCCGTTGCTTTCGCGCTCTTCCTGCCCTCCCCCACCGCGAATTTTGTTTCCAGAACAGGCTCGACACGAAGCGCCTGCTGCTGAAAATGGACTCGAGAGACTCGAGCCTGGAACGAATGGACTCACAGGCAGGGCGGGCAATGTCTTGGGCTCCTCCGCTTCCGACTCCGACCTGACCCGAAGCAAAGAGCAAGCCGAACAATTTCAAACCAAACCAAGACCGTTGTTTTCGACGAGCCGCACGGGGGCTGGAACCAAACCCTTGGGGACTGCAACTCCTTGTCATGTCAATCACCCCTCGCATTCGTTTGTTCCAGTTGAGGTGGCTCATCATTGAATTCCCAAGGGGCCATAGCTGGGCTCACTTCAGTCATTCCACCAATTCTGTCGCGAGGATCCCTTTAGCCCATTCTTCTCGCGGCGTTTCTTGGTGCCCAAGCTTCTCGCCTGCGTGAATTCCGTATAATTCTCCCTTCGCCCTAAAAAAAGCGTTAACAGATCCGCTTCCTTTCTGTTCGAGCGTGAGAGATAGAACAACTTGTGAAGTGGAACGAAAGCAAAGGACAAAAACATTTCTCGGTCTGCAAATTCTCTTCATCGTCGCCCTCCAGGCTCTCATAGACACGTGTGCGCTTTTCGCACAGCCGCCATGGGTAGTACTCGTACTGTTAATCAGCCCAGCAACACCATAGCTGTTGCGACCGTGCTAATTCTCATTGGAACATGGCTTCTAACCAGACCAGGGAGTGACAAGGTAAGCTGTGCAGGTTCCGATCTCTTTGATTTAAGGCTTGACGTCGAGTTTCTTCAATCTCAGCATAAGCATTCCGTTTTCTTCTGACTCCCTCCTGGACCTCGAATTTGACCTCATCCTCAATGCCCTTTCGACGCACAAGTTTTCTTGTTCCTTCCCAAATCCGTTACCCGTCTCAAAATCGAGTTGCTGATTCAGCTTACCTTCTGTATATCCCTCTCGTTCCGTCATATTACCCCTATTCCCCCTATTCCTCCTGGTTCCCCCATCCCCCGATCTCCCCGCGTCTCCTCGTGCGCAGATCTCCCGTGCCTCCGAGTCCCCGGGTGCGGTGACAGGCAGCATGCTGCTCCCTGCGATCCCCGCGTCCTTCCCGCTGTGCGACGCGGTGAGCGACGACTACATCCCGTGCCTGGACAACACGCGAGCGATCAAGAAGCTGCGCACCACCAAGCAGTACCAGCACCGCGAGCGCCATTGCCCCAACCCCCAGGAAATGCCGCGCTGCGTCGTGCCCATGCCCGAGGGCTACAAGCCGCACGTCCCCTGGCCAGAGAGCCGCGACGAGGTGAGATGTGCGCATTGAGAGGAGAGGGGTGGACGGGGAAAGGACGGGGGGATGGGGGAAGGGGGGCGGAGAAAGATGGGGCAGAGAGAAGGGAAAGGCTGGTTGACAGAGCAGGAAGAAAAATTTGTAAGGGAGAGCAATTTACCACCGCGGACGAGGACTACGCGCACATGTCGGTCCGTTACTAATTCTTAATCGCGCGCGTCACCACACTTCCACCATCATCCGCGCACGTTTAATGGTCGCAGATCTGGTTCAACAACGTGCCGCGCACGTCCCTGGCGAACTACAAGGCGGACCAGAACTGGCTCAAAGTGGAGTCGGACCGCTTCATCTTCCCCGGCGGCGGCACGCAGTTCAAATACGGCGCCGCCAAGTACATCGCGTGGCTGGAGCAGGTCCTCCCGGAGCTCGCGTGGGGGCGCCGCGTGCAGGTCGCGCTCGACATGGGCTGCGGCGTCGCGAGCTTCGGCGCGTATCTGGACGCGATGAGCGTTAAGGTGCTGTCCGTGGCGCCCAAGGACGAGCACGAGGCGCAGGTACAATTCGCGCTGGAGCGCGGAGTCCCCGCGCTGGTCGGCGTGATGGGCACGCTGCGTCAGCCGTTCCCCGCGAATTCCTTCGACGCCGTACACTGCGCGCGGTGCCGCGTGCCGTGGCACGCGAACGGCGGGATGCTGCTGCTGGAGCTGAACCGACTTATCCGCCCGGGGGGCTATTTCATTTGGTCCGCGACTCCCGTGTGCCTTGAGTGTAAGGCGTTCGAGCCGGATGATCGCGAGGTGTGGGCTGCCATGGAGGAGCTTACAACGCGTATGTGCTGGACGCTGCGCGCCAAGCGCGTGAACATGACGTTCGGGATTGGAGTGGCGGTTTGGCAGAAGCCCACTGACAACCGGTGCTACCGCCACCGCCCTAATAACTCGTCGCTTGCGCCGCTGTGCTCAATCGCGGATGAGCCCGATGCCGCCTGGTACGTATCGCGGCTCCTTATACTTGCTCCTCGTCTTACGGTATCTCAATACCTGGTATTACTCGTCGTCGAAAGCCCCATGCCGCTTCTTCGTTCTTTCTTCACGCAACGCCCTTGGTTCCGTTCGTCCCAATCCCAATACGAGGCACACCCTATGCCGTCAGCATACCCCATTCCCCATGCTTCCCTGCTCATCAACCTTGTCGACTCTCCCGCTTGCCTGCCCCCTTGCCCCGCCCGCTGCGCTGTCCGCTCAGGTACGTGCCGATGCAGTCGTGCATGCACCGCGTGCCTATGGACCGCGACGCGCAGCACGGCTCGCAGTGGCCCGCGGACGGCGCGGAGCGGCTGACGGCGGAGCCGGTGTGGCTGGACGGCGCGGCGGAAGCACTGGAGACCCGCGCAGTGGTGGAGGCGGAAGAAGTGTGGGAGGAGTTTAAGGAAACAAGTGCGAGCAGCAGCAGGCCCAGCAGCAGAGGCAGCAGCAGCGGGAGCAGCAGCAGCCGTGGCAGTAACAGTTTCATTTTCAGCAGCAGTAGCGGCAGCAGCAGCAGAAGTGAGAGCAGCCGAGTGGATGAGAAGATGCAGTTGCGGTTGCAGCTGCAGCAGGATAGGATAGGGGGCGGGGATGGGGAGTGGGATGGGGGGAGGGCGAGGGGAGAGGGAGTTGGGTACGGAGGGTACGGGGCGTTCAGTAACGAGACGGAGAAGTGGGAGCGGGTGCAGCGGACGTATGAGCGGCGGATGGGGTTCGACTGGAGCACCATTCGCAACGTCATGGACATGGATGCTCGCATGGGAGGGTACGTGTGGTTAGCATGCATGGCTCGTGGCACATGGCTGAGGTGGCGATGCATTCGCGTGTTCTCTTTCATTTAGTTTGGCACGATGCACGCAACGCTATAGGTGACACGATGCACGGAATGCTTCACGTGACATGATGAACAGAAGGTTTCATGTGGCTTAGGACTAAGCCTGTTTCATTTGCCTGCCATGTCCTCTCAACACCCGCACATGCCATTGCCCCATGCCCGCAACTACACCAGGTGGGGAGCAGCATTAGCGGCCACGGGCAAGCCGCTGTGGACGCTCAACGTGGTGCCGACATCGCGGCCGGACACGCTCCCCGTGGTGTTTGAGCGCGGGCTGCTAGGCGTGTACCACGACTGGTGCGAGTCGTTCAGCACGTATCCGCGCACCTACGACCTGCTACACGCGCACCACCTGCTGAGCCACCTCGACAAGAACCACCGCCGCGGGTAAGACTGATTGGCTTAGCCCTGGTAGGCCCAGTCCAGTGAGCCGGGTGTGAGGCTGTTTGGGTGGTGCGATTTGAACCAGCTTTCCAACGTTTTATTTGTGTGCGCCAATCCAGCTTCGCTGCGAAGCTGTCCGGGGAAGAAGTCACCACAGGAACCCTCCTGCTCATGCTTTTTGTATTCTTGCTTGGCCCCTTACGTCCGCTTCAGCTTCTTTTGCCCCTGACTCTGGCTGTGACATTGTGGGGGTGATGCGGCTCGAGATGAATCGTATGCTGCGGGCAACAAAAAATGCATGTCTCTCTCCTGCGAATGCTGTGCGTCCTCCTCTCCTGCTACTCCCGCACCCCCCTCTCCCACCCCCCCCCCACCACCCTTGACTCCAGCTGTGACGTGGTGGATGTGATGCTGGAGATGGATAGTGTGCTGCGGGGGGGACAATCAATGCATGGCTCTCCTGCTCACGTTGTGTATCCCTGCATTGCCCCTTTCATCCCCCTCTCGTGTTTTGTTCGCCTCCCCTCTTGACCCCAGCTGCGACATAGTGGATGTGATGCTGGAGATGGATCGAGTGCTGCGGCCCATGGGGTACGTCATTATACGCGAGACCAACGCCACGGCAGCCATGGTGGAATCAGTGGCAGCAGCGCTGCACTGGAAGCCGCTTGACAGTTACAAGCGCAACACAGACGACACGGTGCTCGCGTTTCAAAAGACCATGTGGAGGCCTGTGATCGAGGCCAGGGAGGAGTAATATGTGCCTGCCCTTGGATTGATGGATACGGTAGTAGATATTGAATCACTAATAAGGGAGACATCTAACTGTCAATCACACATATGGATCTAGGCTAGGTCTGGTTGCAATATAGAGGGTACGGATTTGCTATATATACCGCACCCCCTCTGTATGCCCTCATTCTTTATTTTCTTGCTGTTCTTGCCATGTTATCAGCTATGGGCCTTTGTGGGCGGCTATGGCCGGCTGTAGGCGGAAATAGGCAGAAGTAGGCGGTGGTGGGCGGCTGAAAGGGGCTGGCGGCGGTTGGGAGGGGCTGTGAGTGGCTAAGGGCGACCGTGGGCGGGTATGGGTAGATGTGGGCAGCTGGTTGCTACGGTGGGCGGCTGGTTGCTTCTGTGAGCTGTTCAGGAATGACAATGGGCGGCTATTTGTAGGTGTGGGCAGCTGGGAGCTACTGTGGGCGGCTTTAGGCTGGCCGGCGGGGCGCTTGCTTCTGGCGGCAGCGGAGGGCAGCGTGCGGGGCATAGCGTGGGTCGCACGCAGAAGCGCTAGGTAGCAGCGCTCAGGGCGGCGGTGGGCGGCGCACGGCAGTGCAGGGCGGCACGGGGGGCAGCGCGGAGGGCTGCGCAAGGCAGCACGCGGGGCAGCGCGGGGCAGCGCGGGGCAGGGCGGGGCAGCGTACACGGTAACACGGGGCAGCGGCTGCTTTTCCAGCGTGCTCTGGCGGCTGCTGCTCCAGCACGTGCGGCTGCTGCTCGTTCAGCTGCTGCTCTAGCACGCTCTAGGAGACCGGAGGGATAGAAGGATGGCTGACAGCTAACGCTAGGAGAACCTAGGAGCTAAGGTACCGTTCTAGAACGGCCCCGGAACTTAGGCAATTATACCATCTTAAGGGTAGGTTAGCGGAAGGGAGATGATAGACTATTAGGGGAAGGGGTACAAGTAGAGAAGACATGTGTACCCTATACTATGCAACTCACTGTTGTTGGGCTGAAAACCAGGGCCTCAGATTCGTTTTGGCGTAGGCTGACTGGTCAACCTTAGGAGTGTGTTCATGGCTGATCTGTCAGTGTTGTTGTTTAAAAAAAAACTGACTTTTCAGGGTGTATATTAAAAAAAAAAACAGAACGATCAGCGTCACTATTTGGTGAAGACTGAACCATTTCAAACAAGTTCTGCATTGATATAACAAACGTTTACAGGAAATCTAATTAAACATATCCTCATCCTCTTCATCATCATCACCCTCTTCACTATCACTAGAGCCTAAAGAGAGCGCCGCGGCCAGCGACGACCGCCGCCATGCTAGCTTCACGGGCAGACCGCGGCCCGTGAGGCACCATGGCGACGGGGGAAAGAGACAATCGGCGAGGCGAGGGGAAGGCGAGGCTGCGCGACGCGGGACGACTGGAGGCTGCAGGGAACGACGCGGAAGTTTGGCTCTGCGAGGGGAAAGGAAAGGGAGCAGAAAAGAAATATCTCTATCCTAAATCGTACTTACCTATTGGGCATACTGGTGTGTTGCTGCTGCACTGATGGGCTGCAGAGGAGAGCTGCAGAGGGATGCGGGTGGAGAAAATACGGAGAGGAATACGGGAAGCACGAGGGAGTGAAAGCGGAATCGCGGTTCCCTCTATCCCTCGCAACTCCCTCTCCCACGCAGCTAACTATCTCCCTCGCAGCTCACTCTCTCCGTCTCAGCCTGATCAAACGGAAACGAGGGAACCAAATGCGGGGGGCGATGAGGAGTAACGAGAAACAAATGTCTGTAGATTCGTACCTACTAAGATGGCGTTGCTGCTGAGCTGAGCTCACGGGCTGAAAAGGAGTGGGTATTCCCGTCAAGGAATATGCACGAACGAGAAGTGCAGCTCACGGGCTCACGGATCATCGTACAGCGACGACCAGCTGCGACGCCAGCTTCGCTGGCGAACGCGGCCCGCACGGCGCCATGGCGACGGGGGGAAAGGGAAGCGTGGCGCAGCGAGGGGAAGGTGAGGCTGCGCGATGAGGGAATGACGCTAGGCGAGAAATACACCTGTAGAGTAGAAGAACCACTTCTACTCTACAGGTGTCCAGTACAAGTGCCTTGCATCTCCAAGTGGAGGGACGAGAGGGAGGGGCTGCTGCGAGCGATGCAGGCGCCGAGAGTGGGGAGATGCTCAGAGCGAGAAAAGCGAAGGTGAAGGGAGTGAAGATCCAGGTGGGTGAGAAAGAAGCGGACGGTCTGCGACCAGTGGGGGTTTCATCTACAGTTGGTACAGGAAAGAAGAATCTCTACCGTATCCTTGAGCCAAGATACCTTCGCGAGAAGACAGCAGTGGAGTGAAAGTTCGTGAATGACCATTCCCGAATGCGTTGGCAAGGAATCTTGCCATTTCGGCGTGATTGACGGAGGGACGGTCGAACCGGTGTACCTAGACATCCGGAATTCAGGGCACCTACGCTAATCTCCCTTACAGGGATTTCAGCCAACCCCTTCGTTACAACTCTGATGAGACAGCGTACACGACAGGAAAAAAGCGATATTTCAGCACATACAGATTTAAAAACCCTGAAATTTCAGCAAACACACTTAAAAAAAAGCTGCCACAACAGCCCCACTATTCTCCCACCACTGAAATCACAGCCTTTTTACCCCTAATCAGCCTTTTTTCGCTGACTTCTGAGGGCCTGCTGAAAACCCCTTAGGATCTTTGCAGGACTAAACTCCTGGTAGGACTGATGTAATAGCGGAAACGTTTAATGAAGAGTTGTGAACCACCTTGCGCTAGTATGTGAGGGCAAAGTAGATTAATTGAAACAAAGAGATACAAGCTTTTATAAGAGTACAAGGAATACGAAGAGATACAGTTAATAACCGTTTTACTATTGCTGTTGCGGTTCGATACAGTGACGACTCGGGCAACTGCTAAAAAATGAGTCAGTTGTTTGTCCTTGCTGTCGCGCTGTATTTGTCAGGTCAAAGGTCGCTGACCTTTGACTTTCGCGTAACCTCCAGCAACTGCTCAACCTCCGAGGGTTGACTCGCCTGTGCTTCGATATGACTTGCTTTGCTTGTGACTTGGTGTTTTGACACGACAGAGGCGCTTAAATTAATTGTTTCCAACACTCCCCTTCGCTTCTGGAGTGTCGCTGTTGATGACGTGGCCTTGTCCAGTCAGCATCATGCAGTATTCGAACTTCTGCTTCCCAAGCCTCTTGGTCAAGTAGTCAGCTGCCATCTCGGACGTGGGGCAGTATGACAGTTCGAGTCTCCCCTTCTCGATCTCGTCCTTCACGAAGAAGTATCGCAGGGCGATGCGTTTCGTCCTGTTCGCGAAGCCGTTCTTGTTGGCTATGCGAATTGCCGACTGGTTGTCGCAGAACAGAGTGAAGCTGGGTAACTGAGCCAGCTTCGCTTCTTCCAAGAGTTCACGAAGGTACAATCCTTCCTTGGTGGCTGAGCAGAGTGCTATATATTCTGCTTCAGCTGAGGAGAGGGCGATTAATTCCTGCTTGCTCGGCTGCCAGGAGATAGGTCCGATGGGTTCGAGGCGGTAGACGTAGCCGGTGCGTGAGCGCCTGTTGTCGGAGTCGCCCGCGTGATCGGCGTCGACGTAACCGATTAGCTTAGGTGCTGACGTGTCGTTCTTATGATAGGTCAGGCTGATCGTTGGCGTGCTGACGAGGAAGTGAAGAGCGCGGTCGAGCTCCGCCAAGTGTTCCGTTTCAGGTTTCTTAAGGTAGGTGGCGAGCTGACTTGCGGAGTACGACAGGTCTGGACGGCAGGTTACGGCCGCGAAGAGAAGGCATCCCAGCTTTCTCTGGTAGTTGCGTATGCCGGCGGGCTTGAGTAGAGCGGATCCTTCCTTGTGATTTCCTGCCGTGTAGGGGTATGGCGTGGAGATGGCTGTCGGCGTGAGTGCGAAACGTTTGGCGATGGTGTCGGCATACTTTGAAGCGCTGAGATAGATCGCGTTTTCCTGTTCTTCAATGTTGAGGCCGGGGTATTGCGTGACGGTAGATGAGCCTGTGAGAGTGAGATCCTCCGCAGCAGTGGGGCCCTCCGCAGCAGTGGGGCCCTCCGCAGCAGTGGGGCCCTCAGCAGCAGTGGAGGTCTGCGGGTCCCCCGAGCACTGGGCGCAGTGGCGCCCCCTCCAGTCGGGGACCTCGCTCGGCCGGCCGCGACGTTGGTCCCTGTGAATACTGGATCCTTACGGGTCCTCGTCGGGACTCGTACTGTGGCCGCCCCGACGACTCTACTGCATGCTGCTTCAGTCGTCTCGACGACCTCTACGTCTTGCACCACGGCCCCTCCGCTCCCCCGCCGCCACGCTGGGGTACGCTTCTTGCTCGTGGTATTGCTGTGTTTGATATGACTATGGATGATGCTAGGTCATATGCCATGTATGCTGATGTTGACTATAGTGCTCATGGATCTGTGTACTTGCCTGTACCTAGCTTAGGATCTTTGCCTGTTGCTAGAGTAGGTGCTAGTGTAGGATCTTGTTTAGCTACTAGTACAGGTTCTCCCTCGGCGGACGCCTCTCTCTCCTTCACACTGGACTCCGGAGCGTCACACTGCTTCTTCCGCGACTGCACGACTCTCTCTCCGCTACCGGCGCCTGTCCCTGTAGCACTGGCCGATCCCTCTTCGGGACCGGTCATTGCGACTCACGCCACTACACTCCCGTGCCCAGCTGCTCCTTCTGGTTCCCTGACTGGCCTCCACGTTCCTTCGTTCTCTAGGAACCTGGTTGGTGTGGGCACCCTGGCGCGACAACACGTCGGGGTCTGGGTTGAGCCCTCTGGTGACACCGCGGTCTGTGTGGACGGTGACACGTACGCCCCCTTGGCCACTTTTCGCCAGGAGCCGGGCTCCGGTCTGTACACCCTCCGCACCGACCCCCGTCAGGTTCCCCCGTCCCACCAGGTAGCCGGGTCCAGTCAGGTTGCTGTGTCAGGTGTAGTTGCTGCGTCGTGCTCGTGTCGGTCGCTTGCCCACCCCTCCCTCCTCTGGCACCACCGCCTTG